GACTTGTTTCCTAGACCAATGTTCACTAATCTCCTGTGTCTCTGGGGGTCCTCTGATCACTGACAGACTGTCCTGTCACCCTTACTGAGTAGAGAAGCTTCAAGGGGCTCCCATGGGGCATTTCACTGCTCAGCCCTGTTTAGACTCATCTGAAGATTTTTTTCTCATACAAAGTGTTGGAGCTTTAGAAATTTTTTGGTCCTAGATACTTGAGTCCAGAATTTGGTAAAAAGTTGCTTTTAGTACTGCTCTCATATTCTGTGTACCTTCCCTTGAAAACCCAATGAGTCTGCCAGCAAAGCATCCTTGAGGATCCAGCTGTTATCCTTTTGGATAAGGCAGACAGTTTTGAGGATCAAAAATTTGAATCTATGTTCCAACAGTGACAGCTGAGTAAAGCTATCATCTAAACTGTTTACAGCTCCTGCCCTTAGTACTACAGCCCTCCAGTTTCCTTCAGGGGTGATGGTACCACACCAAACCTGAGTGATGTTGCAGGTACTGGGAGGTGCTTTTGTCCTGTATTGATGAAGTGAAGCATGAGACATTCATAGCCTGAGTCTCAGGATGCACAGATTGCAAGACTGTGCTCTGAAATATCAGTTACATTTCACTGCCCAAATTTGAGACTTTCCTGAAGTTAATAAAAATAAAAACATCAATATCTAGGGAATCTTTATTTATTGGACAATCAACTTCAAATATTTTCAAGGGAACTCACTATTTCAGTATATGCAAGCAAGTTTTACAAACTGAAGCTATAAAATAACAGCAAGGCGGTCTTAAAACTTTCAAAAACTTTTCTAGAAAATGACATCTCTAATGTGCAGGCTATACCAAGTGCCTAGAGTATATAAACATTTTCAGATGCATAAGAGGATGATATAAACAAATCTAACATTAATGAGTTCTCCCAATTTTTACATGTCAGGAAGTTAGAGATAATGAAGGGCAAACGATCCACGTTTCAGCCACTGGAGACCTCCATGGGACAGCTGCTAAAGTGTTTCAGGCATTTTATAGACATGGATACTTGTGTTGGAGAAAGTTAGAATACCATCTTAGCTTACATATTTATAGTTAATCTCCTTTGAAGAGTTTTACTTGTGAAACAGTTATGAAATATACATAGTTGCAACAGAAATTAGCTCCTAGGGGGATCCTCCATCTGCTGAAGTCAGAGGAAAATGATGTGCCTTTGCTTCAGTCATGGTAAAGTTGTGTGACACACATCATATTGGATTTGAGACAGGATGGTTTGATGACCCCCTATGAAGGAGCTAATGGTGATTGAAGCTTGTAGAGAGTGCAGGAATAGAGGATTTGGCCCTCAGTCACATCTAAAATAAACTTTCCTCTCCAAGCATTGCAGAGCTTGCACAGCAGCTGGGTTGAAGTTACAGGTAGGAAACAACCCACTGTTGTAGGGTATTTTCATTCCAACAGAGATTGCCCACATGGGGGAGTAAAGTTTTTCTGCAATGGTCACACTGGTCAGTTTTACTCGTGCAGTTAAAGGTTTTACAGTTTGGGTTTCCCCCCCAAAACTGTACTTTACTGTGTGAATGATTCAATATATGGATTAAATCTAATGCAAGGAAAGAAACTAGATGCAAGATGGTGATCCTGGTAGTAGCATTTCTCTGGCTAAATGGGGTAATAAGGACCTGAGAAAAAAGGTTGCGTTTCCCAATGGATATGTGTAGGCTTGTTACCCACGTGGAAATCTGTCTGCTCGAGAATATCTCATTTTAGAGCACCAAAGTGCTACTGTGGCACCATGGAAAGAACACCTCTGTGTGTTCCAGGCATATCTGAGCCTCACTACCTTGCTCTCAGAAGGAAACAGGCATCCTCCTCCTGTACAAATCTGAGTGCTAGGTCTGTCAGGAGATTATTGATACACTGAAAACCCACCACTGCCAGTTCAAAGCCTCCTTCAGGCTTTTGCAACAAAGGCTAATTGGCTTCCCCACTCTGGGATTTGCCTACAGACCACTGTGTCCAGTCAGATTTGCAACTGAGAAGCATTACTCAGGCATTGCTCCTAAGCATTCCTCCTACTTCAAAAAACCCTATGAGCACACATTTGAAAGTGGACTGTAAATATTAATTTCTTTGTCCTTTAGGCACTTCTGAAATGTCTAAGTTATTACTTCATGGAATTCTTTGCCCTTGGTTTTTCAGTCTGATTTTATCCTACTGCAGCAGAGCAATGTATATCATAACAGGAGATAAAAGTTTCCTTTGATTCACAAGACTGGTGAGTGAAGAGCAGTGACATACAGAAAAAGCTGAAGGACTGTGAGGTAGGAATTAACAACTTTCCATCCTTTATGATTTTTAACCAGGCTATTAGATTTTCCTGTTGAGGTAATATTTCTTTATCACAAGCAAAAAGAATGTTTTAACAGAGCAAATTTATTTTTTAGGGGAAAAAACCCACAATGTGGTACTGAAGGAAATGATTCTGAGCACTCTTCTTTGAACCAGACATTGCCACTGAGAATGGAATAAGATTTTTTAATTTTTATCTCTTGAAAATGATTAGTCATGCTGAGAAAGTGCAAGGTAAAGGAAGAGAGGTACTACACTACAAGTCCAGAGAGAGTATGCAGAACTGGTAGAAAATTTTCAAAGCTGAGACAGAATGATTCCTCATCCCAATAAACCTGCAGTGTAACCAAATAAATATTCAGTTTTCACATTTTGGAAAGCAAGTAGCCTCTTTTCACAAAATATTTAATCATTTATTATTTCAAATCTCTTTCTCCACAGAGATTAAATAGTTGAAATTGCTCATTTCAGAAACTGGAGATGAGTGGCCAAGAAAGACAAAGAGGCCTGGACCAGACATCCACCAAAGCCATGTTTCCAGAGGAAACAGCAAGCTAGCAGATTAGATGTAAAATCCTGTATAAGGTATTCTGGGGATTGGACCACAGCCTCTGTGGTCAAGTCCTAGATGAAGAGAGTCCTGAAGAAACCAGTCTGATCTAACAGCTGGCCCTGCTTTGAGTGGGAGGTTAGTCTGGAATTTCCATTCTGAGCTATTTTATGACTCTATACACAGTTCTCCATTTTCTAAAACCTGAATGAATACTGCTCATTCTGACATATAAAAATTGTATGGTATGACTTTTTTAATACTACTGAAATTCCTATGTAGAAGCGTATTCTTAAATGTTTCCTTTTCATGATCCATCCTTTTTCTAAGGATTCCTCTCCAGTTCCTGCTTTTGCTGGTGGTCAAACAATGCCCAAAGAAGACCTGCATGAAGTGACAGTCTCACTACTGTCAGTAATGGCCTAATTAATAACAATAGAACTCAGTCTATTTGCTGCATCTTCTCAAAAGCACAACCATAATACAGAGTGGAGACAGCTGTTTTTGGGAAACAGTGCAGGACTACCTCACAGCAGGCTCATCTTTGATCTCCACATGCAAAAGAAAGCAAGTTTTTCTTCATTCAATCTTTAATTGAATAGAAATAGATGCGTTCAGACTGTGCATTTTTCAGCAGTAAATTACACCTTGCCAGTTGTGAGGGGACAGCCACAAATGTTCCTAAATGAGCAGAAGGAAACACAGTGTGGCTACATGACTGGTTCTGCTCCTGCAGAAGGATAAAACTTAGTTCTCCACAGTGAATTTGTGCCTCAGTGAGCAAAACATATTTCTCAGCAATGTCAGAACTCAGGAAACTCAGGTGTTTAGAAACTAGAGGGAAACAAAAAGGATATGAAGGTTTCTGCACCTGTTCTTTACAAGAGGTCTGGATTTTATAATATAAGTAAGTTTATCCAAACAAAAAGAAGAAAACTGGCCACAAAGCAACAGGCCCTGCTCAAACCAAAGCCAACAGAAACTCGGTGCTACAGCATCTATTGATGAAGGAGAATGAAGCAATTCTGAAAGAAAGGATTTGGCTAAAGCAACCAAGAACTGTTCATGCTTGCTTGGAACAGTTTTCTGGAAGTAGTACTACTCTTCAATATACTTTCTATGTTTTATATTACTTGATTTGTCTTAGCTCTAATTCCACTAAAAAGGCTTTTGCAAGGCAAATGGGGAACAGAGTTACTTTTTAAGTGTCTTACTACAGCAGTTGCAGGTTAAGAAAACATTATAAAAATGACCCCAATTTTCTATTCTGTGCTGTGTTCTTCAGCTATTTACCAGTTCTTCAACATGGTGTCAAAATATTGCACTATTTTAGAATGTTAATTACCTTTTCTTGTTTCAGTATACATCAGTTTCATACAAAGTATTTCTAAACCCAATCACTAGAGCTGAAGAGCACAGCAACAATGAATGTCCATTATGATACTGCATTTTGTTCAGAGAGCTGGCATGAAATTCATCATTATGGTCAGTGAAGGTCAGTGAGTGAAAAACTTTTTGAGAAGCTGCAGTAGCAGAGTTTCCATTTTGCTGGCTGTGTTTCAGCTGCTTCACTCCTGCCATGGACTCGGCTGTCCTGGTCCATGTGTCACTGAGAGCCTGAGGAGACCCAACACACCCACCAAGTGTTAAAGACAGTTAAAAAAAGGAAAGGACTCTGTTTGGATGTGTTGGTCTCCCTGCTGCTAACAAAGAAGTTTTTACAGCTATATTAACACCTTGCATCTCCATAACATAGGGATTAAATTATTTTTGATGAAGTCAATGATGTAGGGAGAAAATATGATTTTTATTATGACATCTCCTTCTTCTTCTACTTCAAAGGGATTTTAAAGTATGACTGAAGAAATAAGAACAAGGGCTTAACTCCTGAGTCAACTATTTTGACTATTCTTGCCTAATTGTTGAAGTGAAATGAGACAATGATGAGCTGCTAGTGATCACACTTGAGATTTATGTTCATGTGAATGCATATATATAAACACAAATGTAACAACTTTTAATGCTGAATAACCTGCAGGCAATGGTTTTGGATAGCCTTTGAGCACAGCTCCATATCCACACACAAAAAAAGGAAAGAAATTATTTTCTCTACCTTTGGAGTTTACTGCACCAGCTGCAGTTGAAACCAATCTGGGCGGTGACACAGGGACCACAGCTAGTAAACTGGAGACAAGCTGGGATGTAGATAAACATGAATTATTACATTAGTCTCATATATGTTTCACAGAAGAGCACAAAAGAAGAATATATCTTCTGATAATATATATTTAGGAAGTCAACAGGTTCAACCATGTCTAAAATAAGACCCTGAACCCAGCCTGTTATAATGCTTTGCACAAATGTGTACACAAAAGTACATTTCATCTGTAGTATTTCATTCGTATTCCATTTTTAAATGTACTCCTACTTCCACATCTGTTCATTCAGCTTTGTTCCTAAATTTTTATCTTTTTGCTCAATATTAAGTATTTCCTTAAATCTCTTTCTTCTCTGGCTGTTCTTTGGTGTTGCTAACATTCAGACATAAGCAGATAATGAGACTGACAGTCAAATGTGCAAGAACTAAACCTGAATTTAAGAAAAGGGAAAATAGATGTTTCTACTATTTTTACAATAGTACAGCTGGCATTTTAAACCCCAAGATTTCTAAGCAATGTAGTTTTACCTTTGAAAAAAGAGCCTGATGAACTGCAAAATGTTTGGAGCTATTTGTTTGGGGATATGCCTTTGTAATGTGATGCACAGTACACAGAAGAATTCATGTTTGCATTGCAAGCATGAAAACTGTTCTTTCTTTTTTTCCTGAGGAAATGTATTTAAAGGCAATATAATCATTCTTCTGAAAAAATGATTTGGCACAAATTTCATTCAAAACCTACTGGGAGCTATGTACCTATAAACTAACTTGAGATACATGAGGATGAACTGGATAATGCATCATCCATTCGGGAATCTAGGAGAGGATAAACGAATCTCTTTGTGATTCCAAGTCCACAGATAAAACAAAATGTTTGAAATTGTATATGTGTTGCTGGGAGGGAGAGGGAGATAGATGCTTTCTAGATCTGCCTCCTGCTTATGTAATGTTTTACTTACTTGGAAGTGGTATCATTTCAACAGCTGAGAGATTGGTAATCTTTGACATCTGTAGCTCCACCCTGTGGTATTCATAAATTGTTCTTCTGCGGACATCTAATAGGAAAGAAAAAAATAAATCATGTTTTCTTATTTTGCAGTCTTTAGATTGTGAAAAATAGTGGATGTAATGAATGCACACTGTTTCTTAGGTGCACATATGGCAGCTATTTTTCTCAAGAATATATTTTAAACTTTGAATATCACAAAATAACACGTAAAGATAGAGAATTTTTCAGTGGAAAAACTCTCAGAGCTGACAGAAAAGGTACTTCTCCTGGAAAAGAATTATGAAAATGCTGAGTGTGCTTTCAAGCATCTTAGTCATTGATCTGGAAAGAAATTCTAGAGGGTATACTGTCAGACATTTTAGGGTGTATTTCAAATGCTTGCTTTCCTAAGACATTTTTCTCAGCTTACAGATTTGAGAGAAATGCTTTATATGCTCACTTTGACAGTTCTTGCCAAAATGTGCAAACAAAACTTATTTAATTGCTTAATCAAATTTGGTACCTACAAGATGGCTCATATCTAAGGGTACTGGGGTATATTTATAACATATTAGAGAAGACAATCTTCCTAAACAGTCATTGTGCATAATCTTTACACAGGCTGACTGCACCTGTTTCTCAAAGCAGAAATTCAATATAGTCAATGTACTGTTCTGAAGGGCTTTGAACTCACAAGCAACTGTAAGACCCAAGCACAAGATAAGTGTAAAAAATTCTCCCTCACACTACTCCCCAGAACAACATCCTATAATGTGTTTTGAAAATTCCAGATTTTATACACACAATTGAAATATAGACTACTGAGCTTGTATATTCGAAGATCAAAAGTACAACCTATAACACCAATCTGACACAAAAAATGACAGCTTTCTGAGGTGCTGGTTTCATATTTATGTTCTTTCTGAAGGTCTGAAATCAGAGCTAAACACAATCACTGACCCTTGGCAGTCATTCCAGAGAGGAATTAAGTGTTACATACAAAGGACTAAGATTACCCATGCCAATGACCACTCTTAGTCCACATGTAACAGAAGAAAAGGGACTTGTAGACAGTCACAAACTCAGTCTTTGGATGGCTTCTGTACTGCCAGTCCTGTATAGATTAGGGCACACCTTGTTGCTTGAGGAAGCAGCTTCTCTGCCCTCTCTTACCTCATTAGCTCAAGTAGGGACAAGTAGGCAGTATCTCACTTTCAGACATTAATGTTTCAATTTAGCTCCAAATCAGCACCATTGCCAACCACTTCTTGCAATTTATTTGAAGCTTTGCTATGAGTTCACCCCTCCTGATAGCAGAATTCTCTTTCAGTATGAAATGAGCCTATATTGAGCTAGTTCTATGTGCTACCTACAAAGTCATTCTGACTAGTTAAAAGACAGATATGGGCAGGTGCCAAAGTTTACCTCAGTAAATGCCTTAGCCATGTCCTTCAGACCCACTGGAGAGAAAGAGTTTTCAAGACCAAGCTAATTATGTGTTGGGATAGGGACAATCTCTTGACAGCTGCAAGGGGTTTATGCTCATAGGATGGTCAGTCTCCTAAAAGCCCAATCAGAGTGATTGTAAAATGTCTTTGAAATGAGCTCCTGCCAATGCTGAAGGCTGTAATTTAATTTGTTTCCACAGAAATCTTTAACATTCAGTCGAAAAAAAAAAGCAAAAAAAAAAAGCAAGTGAATGTGAAAAATTAAAATGCTGGCTGTCAACACTTTATTTGAACTGCATCTCATCAGCACTGGTACAGACCAGTATACTATAATCCTGTTAATGCTGAACCTCTCCTTACAGGTTCCTCACAGGGCTTACAAGAAATAAGGAGCTTCTGGCTTTCCAAAGACTCAGTAAGAATCAGAGATTCAAGGCATAGACACTTTTACCTCACCCAGTGCATGAAATTTCTGAAAAACACTACTTTTAAGAGAATTAAGTGTATTGTATAAAAAAAAAATTTCTAATCGTGAATATTTCAGCATGACTGTTTATTCCATTAAATCCCACTGCCTGACAGACTCAAATTTGATCTTTTTCTTCAGAAAGATGACTGTTTCTACCACAGGTGGTAAGTTTGATTATGAGGCATCTATCTAATGTAAGAAACCTAAGCACAGAGAGGTATTTGCATAGTCACCCTCTAACATCTTTGTATATTCTTGCAGACAGGTGGTTGGAATTGTGAGCATTCAAATTTATCTGCCTGACCAGGCTAGAAAAACATGCAGGCCTAGATTCTTTTGAAGGTATGACTTAAACATGCCATGCTTAGATCTTTGAAATGCACTTTTCTCTCCCTATTTTGAATTGTGAGCTGGTTTCCCTTAACAAAATTGGTTAAAAAAAACTTTAAACTCAACAGGATAAACAGGAAAATGAATACTCTTCCCTTATGCTTTCCCCCTGACCTCTTCACACGCTCCTGCTTCAACCCAGAACAGACATTGCATTTCCCTCAGGTGGAATTTGCTCTTTGTCTTATGCTGTCTATTTAGCTCTTTAACAAAAAAGTACTAGTGCAGAATCACAAAGAGCTTATGAGCTCACGTATGCCTCAGTACAGACCTTAACATGACAAGAACTAGTGAAATAATTTGATGCAGTAAGAGATCAATAATCAAGCATCATGTGCAGGTATTTCGCTATAAAGAAATGCTACATCAGGTCTAGCAAGGAAAAGAAGAAAGGAAAAGGACTTTTCTATGCTTTTGAAGTACCATTCCCAGTTCTGAATTTCATAAAATATGTGTATATTCTTTTCCTAGTCATGAAAACATTTTACATTTCTACAAGTCTGGGTTTCTCAAGCACACATTTTTAACTAAATGCTATTAGGTTTAACATATTCTTTAATAACTGGCTATATTTTTTTACATTTTGTTTAATTTATACACTTAAGCATGGTTCAGATTGTTTTTTGGTTTGTTTCCATGGCATGTACTTGTGCTATCTTTGAACACAGGCCAAAGGTACAGTCCCAGCAGAAAAACCTGAAGAAAACACCAGCTACCTGAGGTAAGAACACATTCCTCATTGACCGATAGAGATAACATGGGGGTCAGAAGGCCATTTGAAAGAATTCTTTCAAGGGATTAAGCAACAAATTGGTAAATTATAGATGTGCAAGACTCTGCTGTGACAAAATAATTCTATGTAGTTTTATCACAGTAGTATTAAACTTAATAATTCTATATATAAGTATTCTTTGAAACAGAACTGCAAGAGTTGACTAAAGGTACTCAATAGGGAGGGTACTCTGGGGAGGGAGCAGTGCCAGGAGAGCACCAATGATTTCTTAACATATGTGAAGGGTCAGTAGTTCATGACTATTCTAAACTATTATAAACTATTCTAAATATGTGGCTGACAGATGCATAATCTCGCTGTATCTTTTCCATTACATAATCACTGCTTTTCCTCATACACCATTCCTCAGCTAAAACCTGCAATACAGTGAAATGTGAAAATACTGGAGAAGTCATTCTGAGTTTTGAAATTATATGTTCACACAAATAAAGACCTTTTCCAGTGAAAGATTTCAAGGGAATTTGGATTGGCCATATACCCAGAAATAACTGCTAAACAAGGCCATATGTGTTCATACAGCTGTACTTTCAGTTTTAAGTCTTGCTGATAGACAAAACACAAATGGTAAGAGGGTTCACTTGATTATGCAGAAGTCAATTTGAAGTAAACAATTTATGAAACATATCCAACAAGCTGCAGGCAATTTGTGGAAAATATAAGGCATAGAGAAGGGAGGGGCACAGCTGCTGTGTTATACAGCCACTGACTTTGCTTGACAGAAACGTTGTTTAACATCACTGGCTGAATAAAACCTGTCAGCCTGGTATATCTGATTGCTGTCACCACAAAAGGTAAAGGAATCAGAAGGTCAAAGCATCTGTTCTTTAACAGCTTTATATTGCTAAACTTATCAATATTTACTAATTAATTCTTGAGGCACTGACACTCGGACTAAAAACCAATGCTTGTAATCCAAACACCTCCACAATTTCTCCTCTGAATATAACACACATCTAGATCTAGATAAAAATTCAGATTCCCTAAATGTATTAATTTTATCATTCTCACAAAAATTACTAAAAATATCCTTTCAAAAGTGGGAGCTGCACCTCAAATCTGTGAACAAGCAAAACAGTGAAATAGGCTCTGAAACATCTTTATGAACAATGCACTAAGAGCTGTTCTGCAGCAATGCTCTGTGCCTAGCACACATGATTTCCTTTGAAACTCTCCATGTCCTTCCAGATTTGCCCCAATACCTGTTGCCAGCTAAAGAGCTCCCAGTACAGGATCTAGGTGTGAAAAACTTGCTTTATTTCCTAATCCCACCACTCATCAAACTGCCTCACTCTGAGATCTGTCTGTGGTCAGTTATGAGAATATTTTAAATTTTGACCAACTTGTACCAGTCCTGGCAGTATTGTCATGCTACAGAAGATCAACAGCATGCTCCTGAATCAGATATCTAGTGCAAGGAACCCAGCTGCCTGGATAAACCTTTCTGGACCAGCAGACAAACATTCATGGCTGGAGCAGCTGGCTCTGTGGGATTAGTTACACTAGTGAAAAGGAGAATAAATACTATAATTTTAGAGTCATAACTTTGGGGCCCATTTTGCACAGAGGTAAATGATAACACTGCCAGTAAGGCAGGAGGAAATCAGACTTGATTTCCCCAGTGGTGCTGCACCTTTATATGATAGATATCAGAGCATAAATGGCCAGTGGTCTTTTACCCTTCAGGAAGGTAATCCTAAGGTTCTTTTAGGGCTTCACTGCTGTAAACAAAGTGGTGAGACATCCTGAGCAAACATTTACAACATGCAGAGTTGTCACTCAATTATATGCTTGAGTTACACTACATATTGAGTGACACTAATTGCACTGAAACTGGAATATTACTAACACATAGCTCAGCTACAATTTCATTTCTGTACACAGTGTTGTTGAATAATTTCAGTGTGATTAAATGTTAAGTTGTCAAGGCATGGATTTCCTAAAAGAGCTGCATCTAATACAGTAGATGCCAAAATCACAGGGAAGTAAGTCTCATTGTGGAGACAGACCTACTACCCATTTTCTCTTAGTGCAAGACTGTAATTCACTTATGTAGATCCCCTGAATCTGGCACTTTCTCATTTCCCAGAGTATTTCATGGTTTTGTGGAAAACAAACACAATATGGGAAGGATCTCTGGTGGGGTTTTCATTGCTAAAGTACAAAAGTGGGTTGCAGGAAATGCTTTTTCATTTCTTCTTGCACAACAAAAAGATAATTGCAAGATAATAGGGAAGAGCACTGAAACAAGGGAGAGAAACACAATAACCCTGAATGAGAGCAAAAACAGAGGGAAAGAAAGATGGTCATGAAGTTAAAGAGAGATCTTGGGTGTCTGCAGAAGGGAGAGCAAAGGACACCACAGGCAAGTGAGAGAAGGAGCAAGAACAGAATAACAAGGATGGCAGAGAAATAAACAAGAAACGAAGGGGAGCTGTTTGGAGAAGGTGGGCAAGGAACAAAGGTCCTGAAGTAGTGAAGATGTTTAAAAAAGTCTTGCTGGAGGAATATGTAAAGCTCCCAGCTTTGTCATAACCAATCATGTTTCAAGTTGGAAGACATCCATGAAACTCTTACTGTGTTTGTTACAAAAGGAAAAATAGTTGGTGTGCAAGTGTAGTGTTCAACATGTCTGAAGAAGAAGAAATCAGGATGGTCACTCTTACACATAAGAACCAGAGTTCCAGAGCCTGGAACTTCATTTGAATTACCTGGAAAGAGCTGAAACTTTTCCTCTGAAATTAATCAAAGGACCTAGTTTGCCATTTTGTCATAAAAATCTCAGAATTATCATGTTAACCTTGGTGTCAATCAGGAATTTACTTCCCTTAACATATTACCAATCATTCCAAAACACCTCTAGAGTATATAAAGGCATATCTCTATCTAGATATAAAATAGTGGCTAATTTTCAATAGCATAATTTTAAGTGGAAAATAAAGACATGGTCTATAAGCAAGAAGTAGTAGCAGATCAAGGAAATATTTAGAAAAAAAAAAAAAACAACAAAAAACCCCCCAAACAAGTATAAAGCCAGCTGCCAAAAATCTCCCATCTCCATGCTCTAACTCTTAAAAGATAAGGTGAAAAAGTGTATGTGCCTGTGTGCTTTTAGGGGCAGATAAAAGGGGTATTCTGCAAAGTCTTTATATGAAGAAGTATATTAATAAAAATAGGTATGATATTCTCAAGTTCATCCTTCTAAAAAAGTTCAGAAAATCTTTCCTTTTAGCCCTTGGCTCTTCAAGACTTTTCAGCACTCATTAAAATGCACTTTTGAAATTAAATGGCTGATCAAAAAGCATGTTTTCTCTTCCCAGAATGAAATAGGTTTGCCTGGCTTTTGAACTCATCTTTCAGAAGTATTAAAAAAGTTATTACCAATCTTTTGGACAGTATATCTGAAAAAAATCTGAGAAATAGTTAGCTTTAAATCTTCTGAAATTACTTTAATAAACTAGGTCCATTATATTGAAATTTTAGAATACTGAGCAAACAGAAGGCACCAGAGATTTTCAGCATTTTTAAAAATTGAGGGGATATATTTGCTCAAACAGGCTTGTGTTGCTCTTGGTGTCTCATTCCTTTTCAAATGCACAATATATACAAAAACAATTGACAGAGCTCAAGGAAGAAGCAGTAGAGTTTGGGGTGGTTTATTTGCATTATTTGAGGGGGAAGATTTTGGCTTTTTTTCTTTTTTAATAACTAGCCATGAACGGAGACTGGGTTCTTTTGGTGGAAAAATCTTTGATAAAGTGGCAAGCTAGAGCTAGTACTTATACTTTACCTTCTCTTGGGACAAGCAACAATTTATATTCTTCCATTGTCTTAAGAAGCCAACAAATACAGTAAAATAACAATTCTACCGTATCATTTTTTTCAGTAGTTGACTAGAGCCATAGTTGATTTAATACCTCTGAAAAACAAGAATTCAGGAACATGCATATTTTAAGAGCATCTGATACTGGCTTTCTATGGGCCAACATTATTTACCAGCTCTGTCAAGGTGCTATTATATTGCCTGTACACATCAATATAAACCTATTTCATTGAGCACACAATTCAGCTTCAGGAAAATCTACAGTGAAATGATGGTTCCCTTGATTAATATTAGCTCTAGTGTAAGCTGCAATCTAGCAAAAATAATCATGAATTACCACCATCCACAGAACTGGTAGTTAGGGGCAAGAGCAATGCATTGTAAACAGCAATACATTAATAATGGTCTCAAAACTACTGTAGCAGTGGCACATTTTATACTCCTTACCAACATTATAGTCTCACTTTTGTTAGCAGAAAGTGTCATGTGGAAAAAAAATATAGAAATGCTAAAACCAGAAGCCTAGTAAGTCACTCTGCATTCAGCAAAACCAACAGTATTTACTGGTAGTAAAACAAGTGCTTGTCTGAAATATTTCTGCAAAAAGAAACATTCAGACTTGAATAAAGACTCACATCTACCATATGTTTTCCATAAAAAATACATAAATCTAATACAAGTGCTTTAGTGTTATTTTATTATGGAGGCCTGATGTCAAAAGATATCATCCTGTTGCATCTCTTGGATAGAATTTCTTTGTGACTAGTCTCATAAACTGTTTGCATAGTCAATTAACCTAATTTCCCCCTGAATCCATATTTAGAGCTCTTAGAAACTGAAGATTCAGAAATATTCAGATGATTTATTTGCAAATATCACTCACATTACTGAAATTTGTTGCCTGGTTTCATTTGCTCTTAAACACTCAAAACCAATCCATGCAAACATAGGCACAGCTACTTATCATACTTCAGAAAGAAATTTCATGTCTCTTAAGTGAAATCTTGGCATGCTACATGCCTCACACTACTCTGAGCTCACAAGTAACAAATAGTACTGAAATTTTCCATATTCCCCAAGACAGGACATGTAAGACATAGGATTGATGCTCCTTGGTTCTAAAGACTGTTTTATGTGTGACGAGAAGATAGGATGAGCTGAGAGGTCAATAGCACTGGATTTTTCAGTGTCAGCCCCATCTGCTGTCTGTCTGAAAGCTGGGCTGGATCAGATCAGTCCTTGTGAGCACCACAGGTCTGCCAGAGCTCACTTTAGGAGAATATGCCTGGAGTCAGCCCTAGGAGCCTGGTTCAAGCACAGCTCCCTCCATCTGCACCCTGCTATTAGGGCTTCATCAAAAACTGATCTTAGTAAATTTTCTCTAAATATAGAAGTAAACCCAGTAGACTTGAAAAGTGAGCATATTCTCTAATGGCTAAAAAACCTCAAAGGGTTCTGTACATAATACATTAGAGCATCAAGAAAGTCACACTTGATTTCAGACAAAACTAAATTCCACCTGCAATACTGTTGCCATGAATATGTGAGCTCAAGATGTTATTTAATAACTACATCTCCTCTTTTTTCCTGTCACTAAAATGTGTACATGAATTTGAAATACAGAATAAGGTGTCAGGAGCTTCCAGCTTGGATATTTTTGGATACAGACTTTTTTTCTGAACAGATTGCTTCTTCTTTACTATGGATATGAAAGCATGTTCCAGATAAAGAATCTTATGGAAAACCAAATTGAGCCAGTTGAGAGTTTAATTTGACATTATTTGACTGGCCATTTAATTTTATTTACTTAATTTATCAGCTCAAAAGAAACAATGACAGGAAAAGCCATATTGGGAATTATCAAGCAAATAAAATTACACTTGAATTAACAAGCTGAAATTAGCTAAGTGATTTGTTGTGCAGCTAATCACAAGCTTGATGGAATCAGCTTATACTAATTTCTCCACCTCCAAACCATTAGCACCACTACAATTCTACATACTGGGAATTTGCTGGATCCTGTGAACGACCACAAATGCATCTGAAAGTCCCACTTTCACTGGGTGGTTGGTTGAACTTATCTGTGTCACAGCGACAGGAATCTAAAAGACAAAACAGGAAGATCTTATTGAAATATTGAACTAGAAAAAAAGATTAAAAATAAAAAGCACTGCCAAAATGATCATTTAACCAGTGTAACTTAAAAATCGTAAATAAGTATTTTATACTACATAGCACAATAGAACCAAGAATTATTTGAAGATAGAAATTACTGGTTTTCCTTTGTATTTTATCTCAATTTTCTTTGCATTGTTTTCACATGAATCCTTAGAGGTAGAAAAATTGTCAGTGACAAAGCAGAAAAGCATAGTAATTTCCAGTAATTTATTTCCCTCAACTGAAGAAAAAGTGGGATGATGTGCCAGTACACTCAAGGATGAGGAGGCAATGCCTCCTGTCTACTGTTGAACACAAAAACTGTTAAAGTTCAGCTTGGGATGAACATTTAAAAACTTATGGTTCAGTTAACTTGCACTGAAAACACTGTGAATTTTTATCTGTAAAGAGTTCGGACAGAATGATAATAATATTTATTATGTTCTTGCATATCAGGAAAACAGTGTTGTGGTAAACATGGAAAATTCCAGATGCTCAATTGCCAGTATCTAGAGGAAGGAATAAAAATATGTAGATAGTCAAATACCATTCCAGCTTTATGTTACAGACACTGGGTAGCAAGGTTGCATGAAAACAAATGTCAGGTTTGATTCCATTCTTGGGACAAGATTGCAGCTTTGGCTGATACTTCTACATAGATATAATAGGACTGAAATTTTTTGAGATGTTTGATTTAGTGATGTGTAGAAGTTCTTCAGTATTAATATAGTTAAATAGATTGACTGGTCACAAAAAAGCAGCCATCACTAAAGGAGCAGCTCAGACTGACATTGTGCCTTTACAGCATTACAAAGTTCTACCCAAGACTGAGTAGGAAACATAAATTTACTGCCTAGCAGTTCTCCAGATGGCACTAGCAGAGTAAAAATAATGAAATGCCTGGATCAATTAGCAAGGTTAGACATTTCAAAAAATGCAAAGATATAATACAGACAAAAAAGAGTGCAAGGTAAAGTTTGGGGACCATGGTGTAGGAAGCAGCAGTTCTAGAAGGAATCTCAGTATTGCAGTGGATGAACAACTCCAGCTGTCTGAGGGGACATCTCAGCAAGAAAACTTAATTGATATGATATTTGGTTACACGAACAGTGAAATATAGCCTAGATGTGGGGTGACCATTTTACTTGCACCTGAAAATTAGATCATTGCTGATATATCATACAGACTTTGAAAGAATATATTTCTTGAAAAGATGCCAAAAATTAAGAGAAGGAAGCTTAAAAATGTCATAAAATATTTTGTAAACTTCTCCAGTTCTCAAATGTCATAAATAGAAGTGTTATAGATGTTTTATTCATTTGATTTCTGGGTGAAATACTGAAAAGCTGGTTAGATTACCACAAACAAGTACCACAAAAGGCAGAAATTACTAAGGGACTAAAGACTCTTTTATTCTAGCACAGAAAGATATAACCAGCAGTTGGAAACTTCAGGCAGGTACCTTAGGAGTAGAATAAGCCACAGCTTTCTATGAGCAACTATGACTTTCTGCCAGTTGCTGTTTTCAGATATCTTATATTTGGATATCTTACTTTTCAAAGCTGCCCTTCAGTTAACCAGAAATTTCTAGGCTGAAGACTGGTGGAACTGGATCAAGTGTAAGATAATGAGACACAAGGTGTTAGTTTAGCTAACCCAATAGCTTGCTCTTTACTTGTGTGAAGCTACAAAAATTATACAGTTGGTCAGTATTTTTCACACAGCAGAAAAATGCTGAAGTAAAAAGCTGGGTATTCATCCAGTGACTGAGGATTCAGTTCTGTCTACATGATAATTAATAGCATGATTTCTGGCATTTGAGTTAAGATCAGCAGTTCTCCTTGTTCCCAAAATACCTTTAGTTTTGCTTTTTCCCAATTACACTGGTAAGTAAATTCTGGTGAATTAAACATTGTCATAAATTTCCATTCCTTTTACCTAATTTAGTGACTGTTTTTTTGGGGGTTCTTGCACACATGATCTGGTGTGGTATAAAAAAGGCTTGTGGCATGTTGTCAAAATGACAGGGAAAAGAAAACTGGCTTGGAAATACTGCTAGAAATACATCAGCTTAAATTTGGCTTATATCAGCTGAGTTCAGATGCAGTTATTGGATAATATGACAGAAGAAGGCCAAAAGCCATATTTTCAAATTCTTCAAAATAAAAGACTCACTAAGTTCAGAACTAAGTCTATAAATTTTCTGCAGCAAGAAAGCTTAAAAAAAATAAGGGATTTATTCATAGTCTCAGAACACTGGAAAGAAAAGCTTACATTAACTATCAAAGAAACTGTCTTAAAGGATTTTGACAAGGATACTGAAGACAACCTATTGAAAGGTAAGTTAGGAAAAGCACTGATGAGGAGGATGCAATGACTTCCTCTTCAAAGTTAGAGAGGAAACACAGCAGTTGAAGAAAGGACACAGAGTGTATTTGGAGTTGGAATTAGTAGGTTTGTAACAAAAGATGCTGGTGAAATTGTCATCTTAATGCATAAATTGTGTCTGATGCATGAAAAGGATTATACTCATTTGTATCATGTGAATGTAAATCAGAAGTTGCACTCTGGCCTTCTTGAATGAGACTCTTGTCTTTCTTTTTAGTCTAGTGCCTTTTCACATGTTTATTGTGAATTTTTGAATTACTGTAAAATTTGCATCTTTCCCTCAAAAATTATGAAAAAAGCAAGCTATTTCATTTTTTGGTTTGTTTTGTTTGGTTTTGTTTTGCTTCTGGGAAGGAGTGATGACTTCTTGCAGTACTAATGCCACAAGTCAGGGGTTTGGGTACTATTTTATTTTATTTTATTTTATTTTATTTTATTTTATTTTATTTTATTTTATTTTTAAAAAATAAATTTATTTTCATTACAACCTGGTTCAGATCTTGAAAGTTAATAAAATTATGAATAACTCAGTGATATGTGATATTAAAACAGATTGCAGTAGCCAAGTTGAACAGAAAATATATAGAAAAACTTCAAGAGAAATTAGAAAAACTTGAAGTAACAATGGATTTTGCCAAAATCCCTGCAGGTGTCAATACCCTAGTGCTGGGCATTCTACTGAGAGCAAGGAACATTCAAAATCATTTCTAAAACAAATAAGAAAGTAGTAGGGTCCAGTCTATCAGAATCAGCAGCCAACAGTTTGGATACATGTTTTAGAAATGAGGCTTAGAAGCAAGAGCTTCTGTAAAATCAAAAAAGAAAAATTAAATTAGTATAGTCAGTTCTTCAAACTGAAGGGCAGCCTGTGTGAAACAATCATGCAGTCAGAAATGCAGCCAACGTAGAAGGCAATCCACAACCCAGGAACACTCTTATTCTCCTGAAAAACTACAGTGCCATTATACCTGTATTTACAAAAACATATATTAATTTTTAAGTAGTGAAAAAAGAAATTGGTAATGTGTGTACTGAATGGCATATTACAGGTGAAATCTTTTGCATGAGATGTCAAGATAAAATGAGCTTTTACCATATGCTATTTGATTAGGAAACATTCCCTTTTGACAGAAAGCTTGTAGTAAATATTAAAATAACTTATGGAATATTAGAGCAAAACCTAGATAGCAAGCAGAGAGCTGCTGTTCTGGATTTCTCTCCTGAATGGCAAGATAAGTCATAACAGGCTGATATGTTAAATGGCTGAGCAGACAGCTAGGAATCTGCAAGTGATTGCTAATGGTTGGCAAGAATTTTACAGCATTACCTTCTTAGAATGGCTTTTAGCTGGAATAATTCTAACCCATCTGTTAGCTCTACCACAGAAAATGTGATCTTTTGTATTGTACAAATCACCAGTTTATGAATAAACTTCCCACACTAGCACTAAGGCCATTAATGTCTATATTTTGGATTATATACTTCAACAGTAAGAAGAAGGGAATTTAGAATTTATGCTGAGTTCTATGTATCATTGGGATCTGTAATCTAGACAGCATTTTTCATGGGACTTCTCAAATTTTATTCTTTTCAACTGTAAGGTCATATCAGAATCCTATTCTTCAAAAAATGATAAAATCACGGTCTCTAAACTTATTTTGAAGGAGGTGGTAAGCAGGTTGCAATTACTGCCCCACTTCAAAACTGAGTCAAAGATAAGAGCCAAAGTATGTTGCAAAATAATAATTAGGAACACAATAATAGTGTTTATATAGGGTTTTCATTGCCAGTTTCCTAAGTAGTAATTAATTAGCCTACGGGCTAAACTGCATGAAAATCAGGAGTTTTAATTTGTGTAAATTGAACACCTCAAAAATCAAAAATAATTTCCATGTCCATATTTTTGATAACAATAAAAAGGCAAAAATAGCATTATGGAATTTTTTTTTAAATTTGGTTTTTGTGTGGTTTTGCATTTTTGTGGGGTTTTTTTGTAATTGTTTCTTTGGGTTATTTTTTGGCTTTTATTTATTTTAAAATTTTTTTTAGTTTTCAGGAAACAATAGCAAGGTTTGAATTCTTGTTACTGAAAACAGAGTATTTTCTTTCATGCCTAGCAGGGGCACCAGTTTTATTTAAGTGCTAGCACTTAATAATTTTAACTTAATTCTGTCTCCTTCTTAGAATGGAAATTCATTCTACTACAAGCGTCTTTTAGAATTATTTTCCAAACTCACATATTGGGCAATTTTGAGCAAATATTATAATTTTAATAATGGTTTCTGGATGACTACATAAATAGAGAGTCATTACTATTTAAATTTACAAAGTGAGCCTTCTCTAAAGATATTAAGAAAAATATCCTAAACAATTAACAAGACCAATGGAACAATTGCCTAAATTGTTCTGTATTAATCATGGATAAAAAAAGAAACCAAATATTACACTAAGGAACATTAGCTCTAAGCATTAATGGGAAAAGACTATATAGAATAGTTATTTTGTTTCATAAGAAGTGAAACTCATGAGAATTGAACTTCGGTGAAATCTAGAACATAAGAAATTCACTACTAATACATAAAAAGTATGCCTTTACCCAAATCCTTCTTTTTTTCCTGTGTTCTGCTGGCTTGTTTGCACTGTAATGTATTTCATATGTAGGAGAGGTACACCAGTAAAATTTTCATGCCAGCTGATGTTTCCTGACATATTGACCATTTGCTAGAATAGTGTTGGTGAAAGCAGTGACATTTAAAATGGAAGATGCATGCACTTTAAAAGAAGTAAATTGCTAAATAAGTAAATAATTTACTTGCTATAGGACCTTGTTATATTTCAAATTGTTTTCACATTTTGAAAACTTGAGCATATGGCTCCTTCTAACAATTAACTCTTCTGAAAGATATTCAGACATCTCTATATTTGTCTTTTCTGATGGTTCTGCTCCTTTTCTATATTTTTTTAAAATTTTGGATAAAAATTTTAAATTTCAGATTGCTTTCTATTGAGGAAAACAACAGAATGCAGAAGATTGGGCAGAGCAACTCCTTTGGCATTCAGCAAACCTCTGCTAGGATCCTGTCTTGGTGGTCAACACCAGGTTTATGAGGTAGCAAACATAATTTGGGAGCAGGAAGAAAGTGAAAAAAAGGGACTCTCAAACTGTTTGAATAAATTAGAAATAAAAGGTAAAATTTACCTAAAGTGCATTAGACATAAAAGTCCCTAGTTGTATCTGCCTTAAATGTATAATCACAGTTATTTTAAATGTTGACTCTTCTAGATAAAGACAAGAGGCAAGACAAAGCCCCTGTGGGATGCTTGATGAAGCTACTGGCAACCTTTTTGCTGTATTTCTTACATGATGCTCCAGCTTGGGGACTTTCACTGACAATGCCATGAAGACCTCTCACATTTGCCATCCATCACTGTCATTTTTGATGAACTGTGATGCTAAAATAAAATGGCATCAAAAAGACAGTAGAAATCTTGTGAAACTTTTAGTCATGCTAGTGAGCACTTCCACAAGAAATTTTACTGGAGTTAATGGGGCACCTGACAACGTGACTCAGCGGCAAGAGAAACGGCTCCAGAGGGAAGGACTTCCTCAGATAGCCATGGATTCAGCACTGCAAAGTAAATCAATTCCTAGCAAGGCATATAAGCACTAGGACCAAGTCTAAAATGATAAATGACTTGTTTGTTCTTTTCAGACAACTTGTGTCTGATTAGTGATTAGCAATTTTATTTAATTTTGCTCATTTAGATGAAAAGCTGAGATAATGGTAATGGAGTAAAGGCTGCAAATATAGAGTGTAGTTGTCTAGAAATCTCAGTCTCAAAACCCATTCCCCAAGTAATTCTGATGGAATATATTAGTTGTAACTTGCTAAAATATTTAGAAAATTATTTTGTCAAAAGATTTACAGATCATTAATACATTACTATTACCACTTTAAAAAAATCTCTTTCCTTAGTTATGTGCAATAGCTTTAAAGTAATGTTTGGAAATTCCATTCAGGACAGGAATAACTCATGAGAGGGAATGAGTTCTAAGATTCACCAGTTGCTAAAAGCACTTTATTCCATTTGCAAATTCTAGTTTTCTGTCTCAAGATAAATGAACAGAACATTAATAACTCCTATCCACAAAAGCAATGTGGTTTTGGGGGAAGCTTCCAGTAATGTAATGAGAGCAAGCAGCCTGTGCATTCTAGCTCAGAAATTGTTTATCCATGAATTAGATGTCATACTTCCCTGCAATTCTAGGAACCACTCTAGGAACCAAGGAGTGGCTCAATTTACTCTTCTTTTCCTAAATGAATAATGTTTTCAACTACCCAACACTACACTGCATCATCATTTTCTTTTGTGCAGAATCTATGCCAGATACTTTCAAATTAGAGCAGTAACTTCTATCACCCACATTAGATCAAATTTGCACAGGGCTAGATAATAACAGGGAGTGTAGTGCATCTCACAGGCAGGAATAGAAGTCTTCTGAAAAGGTCACCATTTTAATGTCACAATGCATATATAACTAGTATCCAACTCCACCTCTCTAGGCCTTGAAGGCAGGAAATTTTGTGCAGTCTTTAAAAGTTTTTCCTTTTCTTTAAAAAGTTTTCAACAAACCAAAGCTTTTATTGTGCACTCTTTTGATCAAGTACAATTGAGCTCCATTGTTCTAAGCGGAGTAAAGCTTACATGAACTTGGATCCAAAATGCAAATAAACTGCATTTTCATAGATGAAGACTGCAACCTGTGCCTAACATTCAGAAGAAACCCCAAGCAGACCTTGAATCAGCATGTCTTTTATAAGAAAAGGAAAGCCATGTACATGGGCATACCAGAAGTTTCTTGTTTCTACAATACTGATCCAGTAAGAACATCTTGCAGCAATCCTTTTCCAAGACATCTGTCTTAGGTGAAGGTATGACTGCTGCTAGCAGAAAAACCCAGATCCTGTCTAGTTTGCTAGTGAATGGCAGAGGAATGTTATTACTTCTGCTTCATTAAAGGTGCATATCTAGAACACAGGCACGAAAAATGAGCCTGAAGGCTCACAAGTGTTTTATAGCAGAGAGAGAACAGAAGAGAAAAGAGATTTCTCCAAGTCTGAACAATTTCTCCAAATCTGGACAACTCTAATCACTGATTAGAGTTTCTTACTATAAGGAGAATAACTGAAAATTGCATTTTGAAGAGAAAGTCACAGGGTACATGCCAAACATCTTAAAATAACAAAACAAAGCAGAACAAAAAACCCAAACCAAGCAAAACCAAAAAACAAACAAAAAGGAAGACATCATGTTGTCACTAGAGATTTAAACTTGTCTGCTTTCTGATTCTTATTTGCATGAATCAGAGAATCATAGAATACCAGGCTGAAAGGGGACCTCAAGGATGACCTGCTCCAACCCTTCTTGCCAAAAGCACTGAAATTGAAACAAGCTATAGTTTCCAGAGCTCTAGCAACTCTAGAAAAAAAAATCACTCAAAGTAACAACTGGAATTCTGAAACACTTGGAGAATGCACAAGAGCCCATTTAAGACAACATATTGGTGCTATGAAGGGGAACCAAATGGCCTCAATCTAAGCAATTTTATCATCAAACAGATGGAAAACCTCAGGGCTAGCAATACAAACCAGTTATTTCTTGTTTCAAATATATGAACTTTGAAATATATGAGTTGCCAGAAAACTACAGCTGCAGGAAATAGGTGATCTTTCAACAGTAACTATTGATTCTAAAGTATTTTGAAATGGGCAAGATTGGGTAGACTAATTAAAAAATAAGATCCTACCTTTCAAAACCCATGGAGAATTTATTAAAACCCCAGGAATTTACTGAACATTTAGCACAAACATCCAAAAAAGCCCAGTTGAAATCCAGGATTAGTACATTTGTGTCATGTTGATGCTTTTAAAGTCAATTATATGAACATCACTTTAATAATATTATATCATTTTCATCAACATAGCGATCTTATAAGTAGTGTAATGAAATGATCTTATATAACTGATTTTTCAAAAATTTTCCCTCCCCCACAAAAATGTAGGGAAATTCCTGACATTTATAAAGTAATTTGTCCACTTAAATGACAATTCTCAGACCCAACTTACTTCTTTGTAGCCGAAAATGATACGCCCATCATTGAGAAGGGTGGCCTGAAAAGTGAAACTCCCCAGGTTGTAATTATCCTGCAGATGTACATGGTCCCACTGGACAACTAGTGCTGTGCCTGTGAACCCCAGAGTGGGGGTAGAGAGGCAAAAGGAAGAAAAAAATGTGAGAAATATATTAACTGATTGTAGGAAAAGTACTTCACTACAGTTACTTGAAACAAGAACAGTGATTTGTTTCTTTCTAGCAGCTTTCAGCTCCACACCTTGAAATGCCAAAGATATTACAAACACAAGTTGAAACTGAAATTCTCTGAAATGTAGACACCACAGTGCTATGCAAGCAGTACAACTACTGCTAAAGCAAGACTGGTCAAAAAACTTGTTTGAAATTGCACAAGAAATCAGCTAAAGGTAGGATCCAGTGGTTCAGGGGTGCTGCCATTACCACTTCTCTGCAGTGGCATTCTTTACACTCTATACATAAATCCTGATGGCTTTGAAATGTGAACTGCTAACAGTATTCCCTGTTTAGTAAAAGTTATTATTTCAAGAATTCAGATTCTTGCATTAACTATGCATTAAATAATTTTTTTTTTTTGCATGGTGCAGGCCCTTGCTGAGGTTGTGCAAATTGAGAAATGTTAGGTGTTGGCAATAAATAAATCTAGTTTAAATCAAACTCACTGACAAGTCATAGACAGGGTAAATATTGAGTCTGGTATGCAGAGATTCAGTTGCAAGAACCTTGTTAATATTCACAGGAGTTCACTGGCTGAAGATGCACTTACCACACTAAAAATATTTCTCAAGCAACCTGCATACCCTGTGAGCATATTTTACAGATGTTGAGACACTTACCACCAAAACTGTGTTGACTGAAAACAACATTTTCATCTTTACATGCCTTCCTCAAAAACTTCTCTTTTTGGCAGTAATGGGAGTTATGTGCTTTGATTCAGACTTTAATTTCCTTTCTTCCTAGAATGTTCATGATGGGTCAGTACATATTCAGCTCAATATATTTTTGATATGTTCTTGAAAAATCTTTTGCTACAGCTCTGTACTGCAACTGTCATGAACACATCATGAAACTATGAGCATGCTAATAGTGGGTCCACACTGCACCAAGTCCAACACATTATTGTCCATTGTGTTTTTCTGCATAGTAGATAGGCATTAATTGTGCACAGAGGGCATTTTTTTCTTTGTGATCACATTCATTATCTACTTTTTGAATATTTATTTTATTGCATTAAATCTTATTTTAAATGTAAAGTTATTACATTTATTTTAAATGCAAAGTTATAACTTGTAAAGTTATTAGAGCACAATTAGCCAGAATTTCTTCTAGTCAGTCACTGAGCACTTCAGATCTATGTGCACCTCAGAACCCCAAGCTAAAATGAAAATCAGCTGCCACCCAAACTGTCCTTTCATTCCAGAGGCTTTTATGTAGATTTGTGTGTACCTAAGTTCCTCGGAGTTAGCTCCACCCGTGAGACTTTGATGGATCCCCACACTCTGTGCTTTCCCACTACAGATGTTTCTTTATGGCAGAGCACTTACTCATGGGGACAAAGCACAGATGAGTAAGAAATAAGATGCTGAAGATACAATCTGCTCAGTTCCTTTTTACTTGTGCTAAGATAAAAAATTCTTTGTCCTAAAGCCCATGGAGTTCAAAAGATGATGCATTACACATGAAGAAGATTCCAAAATCTCAAAGCCATGTGATACAGCCTTTGCACACCTGGTGTGAAGACTGGAAGTCAGGACTATAATGAGAATTAGCCACTTCTTCTCCAGAATCCTCAGATTATTTAAGTAAAGATGACAAATCTCTGGCCAAAATGTTAAATAATTTAAAACATGAAAATTATATCTTTTTCTGTTTCAAAATTCAAAATGTCAAAATGGAAGGAGTAGGATTTTCTCATGTAAGCATTTTATTGGACTTTTAACAAACAAATATTGCTATGGCTAGATTATAAGGAAAGGTTATAGATACAGAATTCTGTAAAAGATACAGAATACATTTTGGTAACTGATTTAATTAATAAAAAATTATTGGAAATATGAAACATTTTTGAACCTGCTGGCAATTTTTGTTTAAATTCCCTACAAATAAGCATATATAAAATAGCAGAAATGTATCCAGGATAATGTAGAAGTCATGTATGTCATGATAATAATTCACAATACTAAATTCTCCAAGTTTTAACTGTTACTGTAGCTGATCACTAAAGGCCTGAGGTAAAGCACCAGGTGCCTTTTAACCACGTAGGGTATGTTTCTAAAATATTGATTACAACTGACTTCAAGAGAAAAATATCCACACATTCAAGGGCTTTGAAACTTCTCACAGAGTTTCAAGTACAACACTGCAGCTTGCCTTTTCCTCTTTCAATCTTTTTTACAAGGAACTGTTGAGAACTCGTGGTGTAGATGAGTGTATTGGATTCCAATTCTGGGACTCCATGAACACTTAGTCATTGACAGGTTTATTAACCTTATCCCTGCCCTGCTTCTGTGTATTCTTGCTACTGCACTCCACAAACGCTATTTTCATTTTAGGTAGTGGACAGATGGTATCCACTATAAATACTTTGAAATAACACTTTGAATTTACACTGTTATATAAGACAGATTTTCCCTTCTAAAACTGATAAAATGCATTGCTAGTTTGAGTTTATGTACTTCAACACCCAGATGATATCTGCTCAATTAAGAAAAGGCATTCATGATTCTTTATTGTGTTCTAAATTAATAATTGCTTATAGATGTCAAGTCACATGCTCTATACAGCCTCTAAATTAAAAACAAAAAGCAAAAAAAAAAAAAACCTCAATGCTTCCTCCTGAAATAGTTATTTAGGAAAATAAGAAGAGCCAAGGGATACAGACAAGGACTGCTACATACCATTATCAAAGTATCTGACTGTTGAATTTCTTGACACACTGGGGTCAAAATTTGCCATTAAGGGTGCAATATATTGAGTAGCTGTTAACATTCGATGCACAACTTCTCCAGTATATATGAAACCTACAATAAAAAAAAAAAAAAAGAGACCATTTCAGTAAATTCTGAAAAGATTTTAATAGAATGGCAGGTTGAATTAGGCGTCGCCAGAGCATTAAAAGGTCATCTGAGAGAAATTAATCCCACCACAAATTTTATAGTTAATTAAATAAGAGCTAAAATTTCAGAAAAACATCTGTGATGGCTGTCAGAAAAAAAGATCCAAAATGAACAGTGGAACAAATAGTTTAAGAAGGTTTTTTACAGAAATAAAAACAGTGAAAACTCAAGGAAGAATAACTCCAGTTAAGAGCCAAATGCAAGGATATGGCACTATGAAAATAAGCCATTTACCACCAGGCATATTCCATAGTGCTTTCTTCCATACTTTCCAAAAATCTGCAGTTTGTTTTGCTCATGCAATTTGTGACCTCTTTTAAAGTAAGTCTAACCCTTTTTCATTTTTCCAGAGACACAGAGTAAGGGACTATGTCAGACTAGAAGTGACAACTTTTAAAAAAAAGAGTCAGATGAAAAGGGGAACAGATAGGACTTTTTCAGGTTTATAAGGCAAGCAACATTTCTACAACATTCTCTGCTGTGTCAGGTCTCACTAGTCTATCCTATTCATCCCTGAATTGACAGTACTCCTCAGATCAATAGTGGGCTTCTTTCATCTGAAGTGCTCATCCGAAACCTCTCACTGGTTTGGAATTGGAGTCCTTCCTTTGAAAGAAGACCAGTCATCTATGGTGAATACAGTAATTCTGCAGTTTTCTTCTAAGCAAACATCAATGTATTTGAATGGCAAGATCCTCCTTCTATTTTAAACAATAAATGGTCTACAAATAAACCTGTGTTGTTTAGGTTTGCCAACTCCACTTCAACTGGCTAATGGAAGTAATTATTTTAAGTGCCCAGATGAAAGCTTGATTTAAAAACTCCCATTGCCCTAGAATGAGTCTTTTTGCTACCCCTTGCCTTTAAGTTGAACTGTAGACAGATCTTCAAAAGTGATGTTTGCATATTACCTCTCCTCCTAGTGTTTAGCATAGGGTATCTTATGATGTTTTTGCTTTTTCTACTTCTATTGATTCAATGAAGTATATTACAACAGCAAACATCTCAACAAGAAGATAATATTAGAGCTGTAAATTTTCTAATATTAAAAATGTTATTAGAAAGACATATAGAAGAAATATAATTCTTTACTGGAAAATTATAGCATTACTTTCAACACTAATTAGGCTGGTTTATGTTTCTTTTCCCATTTTCAATCATATTGAGAGTCTCTCTTCCTCTACAAAAGCCTTCGCTGCCAAGACCAAGAGTTCCCTTCTTCTTACTTTTAGTACCATGACAATACAACATGTGATGAAGTAGCCTATAAATCTAACTCTAAAACATGATTGTGAAATTCCAAAACCAAATATGAACCCGATCAAAACTGCTATTAATGTATACTACTAAAAACTCCTAGTGTGCAACCTCACTTTCTTAACAATATCTCCATCCTAACCAGTGTGAGATGAGAGGGTTCATTAACAGATTTGTTCAATATGATATAGGAAATCTCTGAGTGCATGAAAAAATAAGTTTCTGGAGTGCTTTAGGCATCCTTCTACTCCTGTACTCTTCTGAAATACACAACTTAAATGCTTGCCAACAGTTCATGGAACTAGTTCTAGAAGTCATAAGATGAACAAACAAGGTGGTTCTCTGGAGTAATTCTCCTGCACAGCTACTTATAGATAATATCTTGTTCTGTGAAGTCAGCCCTGGTGGTGGTGATAGAGGGCCTAAGAAAAAGTCAAGTGTGGGGAAAATAAAACAAAAGATTCAGTTGCAAAGATTTGGTATCTGACAAAGGGCTGACCTAGGAACTGAGATTTTTTTTCATTTAAAACATATCTGTGTATTCAAAAGATACAGTATTTTAATATCTGGGCACTCCCTAACTACTAAATTTATTCTTAGGATTAAACGAAAACTTTTTTTTTGTAGCAGGGAGAGGGGAAGACTGGGGGGCAGATTCTTCCAACGGAATATCTAAATACTACTTCTCTCTTTTGGTAATAGGGAGAGAGAAACATCAGTTTAGAAAAAGAATCTGCCCACACATAGTTACAAGTCATTTATAAATGTGAGCTTTCAGAATATACAAGCATGGCTGATTTTATGCTATTACGTATTTTAGGATAGCCAACTACCTTGCCAAACTATAGTCCCTGAAAGGCATTTTCACTATTTCCTGCTTATTAGTATTTGCTTCTAAAATGTCATACCCTTGATTAAGAATCCCTTATGCTTATTTAGATATTTTCAGAATGTATTATTACACAGAATTCTATTTCATACTATGTGCTGCTTATTATCCCTGTGGACATCTGCACACATATTTTAACACAGTTGTGGGTAGGTCCATAACCTTGAAACCATTCCTCAAAAATATTTTGAAGACAATACAAACAAAACCTTTGAATCCATATTTATACATTAGAATTAGCCTGAACAGTTCAGTACTTATTCATCCCTTGCACACTCATCCTACACTTACAGTTTCCCTTTCATGCTTTCATCCCATTTACAGTATAAAGGTCACCCTTATAGCTAATAATGAGGCAGATACAATAGGAAAAGAAAGGACTCAGTTGTGCTGGAACACTTAACTAAGTAAATCAGCCCAAGTAATTAGTAACCACAAAACGTATTTCGAAGTATTTGCCGGATGCAGTTCTACTATAGACAAAAATGGAAAGCAGGAGGTGGATGATAGCTGGGAAGCAGGCAGGCCTTGCATGAAGATCATTCTAATGAGAACTCCAGTCATGCATCAGAACAACTTGAAAAGGAACACAAAGTCATTTCAAATCATCCCAGAGATTCACAAGATGAAGCCACCATTGACCATGGACATTTATCATTGCAACTATGACTTAAAAAGAGCAGCAAAAGTAAAATTACCTTATTCTGGAATGGAATTCCACAGAAAATTGGCTTATGTTATCTGTGACCTAATTTTCTGACAATTCTTAATGCTTGTGGTTGATTCATTTAGTCAAGGAAGAATTTTTCAGACCTGCAATTTCCTGAACCACTTAATCTCTCCTTTGTGGGAGGCACTGGTAGAGCTCTTTTCCAAGACTCTCCACAAGCACTCTACCTAGAAGCATAATATGCTCCTAAATATTGAAATGAAGACAAATAGGGAAAAGTGCTCAGCATTTTGTAAGTTTAATATGTACATATAAATTTAGCTAAAACTAAGGCTGAACTAATATTAAAACCAATTGTAAATCAAGAAGAGTATACTTCTAGTTCTCACAGGGTACAAATTTACACTCACACAAATAGGGAAAAAAATATTACCACTTAAGCATGAAAGCACAGTCTCACTTGACGTAGGACTTGATTTAAAAATGCATTTTATGCCTGAATTTACCCATTCCAAAATATGCTTATCTGTTGCATGCTAACATATCAAGTTTACCAAGAAAATTTAATGTACAAGGTTAAAAGACACTGCACATCAGATTTCTGTGATTTCCTTTTTTATATTCCTAGCTGTGCACAAACTCAGTATCACTCAGAATGTTTTTTGCCAATGTTTGCCAACAGAATGACAAAATATAGTTTTAAGGTAGTACAGGCAATGAGTACTTTGAAGTGTGTCTAAAGAGATGGTAGGATATGCAGACAAAAACAACAAAAAAAGAATTATCTAGGTTGATAACCATATTCTAAGCTGCCTGACAACTAACTTGTAAGATAAACCCTTGTCTCTCTCTGTGGTGGGTTGACTTTTTCCATCTGCCCCCTGTCCACCCAGCTGCTCTCTCACAGCCCTTCCTCAACAGGATATGGGGACTAAATAGAAAGAAAAAAATGTGTGTGTCCAGACACAAACAGGGAGAACACTTGCCAATTGCTGTCATGGGCAGGAGAGAACTGACTTGGGGAAAGTTAATTTAATTTGCTGCCAGATAAAATAGGTTTGGATAGTGAGAAAGACAGATTAAAACACCTTCCCTCCACCCCTCCCTTTTTCCCAGGCTTAGTTTGTGTCACTCTTTTATTCCCAACTCCTCTACCTCCTCCTCCCCACTGAGCAGTGCAGGGGGATGGGGAATGTGACTTGTGGTCAGTTCATAACACTTCATCTGTGTCAGTCCTTGTTCCTCTCATTTTTTTCCCTATTCCCATGGTCTGCAGTCCTTTAGGATAAACCTGCTCCATTGTGAGAACTCCATGGTTCCTGCAGGTGCTCTCCAGTGTGGGCCCCTCCACAGGCTGCAGTGGATATCTGCTTCAGTGTGGCTCTCCCGTGGTCTGTGAGGAAATACCTGCTCCAGCCTGGCCTCCTTTACAGATGCTTTGGTGCCTCAGCAACCTCCTCCCTCTCCTTTTCTCTCCTTGGTGTTCACAGTGTTTTTTCTCATGCTTTTTGCTTCACTCCTGACACTGAAGTGCAACATATTTTACCCTTTTTAAAATGAGCTCCCCTAGAGGCTCCACCAGGGCTCAGCTGTCCCCTGCAATGGATCTGTCTCTGTCTGGTAAGGGCCAGTCCCCCATCTCCTTCCATAGAGACAGTCACTCTGCTACCTAAACATTACCACAATCCTTAATACAATTTAACTTAGTATTTTGATTTTTTTTATATACATCATATCTTATTTTATATATCAACTATTTTACCTAATATGCAAAACCAACATTATTTACCTGAATTACTGGAATTTCTTGTTTGTTGTTAAGAGTTTTTAAAATTTATTTATTTTTAGTTTAGTTATTTTCTAGTAGAAGACAGGAGGAAAGTTGCAGCTGAAACAGCACTTAATGTACCAGTCTTACTCTCAGTAATTGTTAGCTCTCGCCCAGGTCAGGTTACTCACACTATATAAAATCTTTTGTCTTCTAAAAAGGAAAAAATGTTCTGGTAAAAAGAAAATGAGAGAGAAAAAGAACCATTGTGTCTGCTGGTGCTAAATAACAGTAGTGAAATAAGTTGATGTGAAATTATA